AGATTGTGTGGACTGATTAAGAGGTATCAAAAATGGAAACTAACTAAATGTGTACTTTTTCTTCCAGGAAAAAGGGGGGAGTGATTCTCTTTTCTTTGAAATATTTTCTGAGACTATAAATAAGGCCTGGCCATTTTTTGTTTGTTTATTGTTTTACTATATGGTGTTCAAATAACCACAAACAAACCACTTAGTATTTAATGTCAGTTGTATAGGATTTTTATTTTTATTTTAGTTATTTTCACGGGATGGAAGTGAAATATCTTAAAGGGGCAAACACATGTAATTTGGGCTTTTAATTACTGAGGGATAAGTAAATACGTGTGATTTATTTTGAAAAGAGCTGTACTAAAGACATACTGTACACTTGGGATACAACATATATGAAATGTTTTGACGGTTGTTAATGAGTAGTATACTATTTGATGGAACAATTAATTGAATGATTTCAATGACCTCTGCAATCTGTCCTGGCTTTATGGTGTGGCCTGATTACCCACACTGTAAATCTTGGAGGCATGCTGAATTGGGGGTTGATTATAATAAGGAATTGTAAAGAAGTATATAATTTGGCATTAATCCTATATATCATCCCAAACAGGACAAAGATGAAGTGAGAGAGTTAGGCTTGAAGGAGAGATATCCTTGAATAATGTTATCGAATGCAATTGGGTTAAGATATCATCAAGGTTTGTCAATTTTAAGTTCAGTTATTATTTTTGGTTTAACAAGCAATATTGTTGATTGTTTTGTTTTTTGAACACATGAATCACGATGTGATGCATGTGTCCAAAGGGGGGAAGGTGTTAACGATTTTAATGTTTTTTAGGCTTACAGGGGTTTTAATGGTTTTGGGGTTTACAGGGGTTTCAATGGTTTTTAATGGTTTTAATGTTTTTGTGGTAAAATATGCAAATTGTATTAAGGATATGAGCAGTAGTAATAATGTGTTATGGGTTAGGTTAAATCTTTTTTGTTTTTGTGATAGGAGGCATGGTGTAGAGGCGGTCTGTCTATGAAATGAGTGGACTACAACGAGCTGGAAGGAGGTGCGCTTCATAATCTCAAGGCTTCTCCTAACCTAACAATGTTCTTAAGATTTTTTTCCCATGGGTGAAGGGAACTCTGCCCAACGGAGTAGGAGAATCTGAGTATTTTCTGAGCCCTGGAGACTATGTGATGGTAAATGACTACGGAAGAAAGAGTTGGAAAGACCCTATGTGGAGGGGCCTGTACCAGGTGTTGTTGGCTACCTCAATGATGGTAAAAGTGGCGGAGACAGATACTTAGATCCATGTTTCCCACTATAGGAGTGTTCCAACCCCAGCCATTGGGTAGCATTGTTGTATTTTGTGTGTGTCTGTGCTTGTGTGTCCTTGCAGCAGTAACTCTGAGCTTCCTTATGGGTAGGCTGATAGAAGGACACTCTTCGCAGACCGATGTCGATAGATTGAGAGGGACTCTGGCTGATCCGGAGACCCTAGTGACGGGAGAAGGTTAACAGCTAAAGTGACCATACATCATCGTCCCGGTTACACCAACGGCGGTACGGATAGAGGGGAGTGCGATCGGGTATCATCTAAGCCATTGTACCAGAATGAGGGAACTGATGACTAAGAGACCACCGAGACCTTCAAGACTTTCAAGACCTTCTAGATCTTCGAGATATTCCAGACATTCAAGACGCACCAGATATCCCCATCATTGATTTCTTTGCACTTGACTAGTTCCCTGAGAATAAGGGGAATGGGGTACTGATAATAGTGAAGAGCAGAAGAACAAGACATAGAAGGGATATAGACAGGATTAGAATGTATATTCCTGCACAGGCAGGAACCATAACTAAAATACAGAAAGGGATCACTATTAAAATACAAGGGTTAAATGGTTATTGGTGTGGGAAAAACCAGCACAAGGAGCATGGGGAAATCACATGGGGTAACGGTGACCTTAAGATAATAAAATAAAAAGACAGATGGATCATAGACATAAGGATAACAGTTCACGACTTAGATTAACAATTTGATGTAGTACTTAGTGTTAGAGTTCCAGGGGGAAGTGTTGTTGGAGTAGTTATTCCTTGGGAAAGTGCACTAAACCCTGTACATGTTAGAGCCATACCAAATACAGAAGAAAGGGAATGGAAGGAGTCGTTAAACAATGATTGGTATAGATGAGTACAATATATTACATTACAATTAAATAAAGAAAATAGTCTAATATGCACCACATCTCCGTTTAAAGAATTAACAGTAGTTCAAAATCTTCACAGTTACCAGGACTGTGTGCTAGGATTCAATCACAACTTTTGTAATATTTAGGAAATTCTAACTATAAACAATTTTATGATCAACCAGGATGAGGAGAGAAGTGTAAGCAATTGTTAGAATAGGAACAAGGAAAAGGGAAACACCAGAGTAATATCAAATAGATTATGAGGAAATATAGGAATGTTACAATAAAACAATTGGGTTATATAATTTGGGAGAATTCAAGAGAGAATGTGAAACTAGGGGGCGTTTAAACAGATAGCCTTTGGAATACAGGGACCCCTCAATGAAAAATCTATCAGGCAGCAGGATCAAGTATTAGAAATGGGTATTAAGAATGAGTGGTGAAACATAATGATTTGTCATATAGTCAATGTTAATAGGGATGTTTTGGATTGGAAATTAACTCAACTAAACTGTCCTGAGGTTACTACAGATGGTGTCATAATGCATAGCAGAGAAAATTTGGTCCAGAACGGTGTAAACCTCAATAAAAACCAAAAACCCTCTACCCGGCTGAAGAGGAGCAACAAAGGCGTTGAAGACGTTCCTGTCCGACACCACCTCTGCCAGGAGACCTGAATCCAGCATCAAATCAAAGCAATCAATTGCCTTCTCTTTTGTGCCTTTTCTCTCAAGAATGTGACAGGAGTCCATGTGGAGTGAGCAGGAAGAGAGATCTATGCTAATACAACATTCTTCATAGTTTGGGTATACTAATTGGCAAAATGGACAAAACAAAATGATGGTGGAGTCGGGGCGGCTCAGGTGTGACATTGGAATTGGGGCATTGCTATGGGCAATCCAAAATGAACTATGAAGCTATCTGAAGGACATAAGGAGGACGCCAGAAGATTGAGTGCCGGTAGAGGAAGGGAGTGTTAGTTGAGGTAGTATGTTGAATTGAGGAGGTAGTATACACTGCTAAATTTATAGTAATTTAGACTAGGAATGCATTGGGATACTGATCTGTTGTCATTCTCGTTATGAGGAAAGTCATGTTAGAATTGTGATAATATAACTATACAGTATGCCAGTGTCAATATGTGCCAAGGTGAGAGTTTTAACTTTGAATGATGGAGCCAAGGTGACTAACTAAGAATTGTCATTCTAAATTTGTTTTGGGTAATTAATTTGAGTATGATTATGAATTGTAAGCTGACTGATTGATTTGAATGAAGTTATGTGAGTTAAAGATATTGATATTATTCTCAAACATGTCCTAGGTAGTATGGCTAAAACAACGCTACGTTAGTTTTATTGTGTTAGGATACTAACACTTATATTGGATTTGGTTTAGGTAGAAATATTAATATTGTTCATTATGAGTATAACTTTGAATGCAAGGATGTTGATTGATAGCATAAACATAATATACTTTTGTAAGGTTATGGGATTAGTAATCCCATGAGGAGGGATATGTGGTGAATTCTTATTAATGAACTGTAGAGTTTAATGGACTATGAGGTAGAACTGGGTTAATCAAGAGCATAAAGTTAGAATTCTTTGTTACTGGGCCAGGAATTGTATTGGGTCATTTAATTTCACTGTGTGGGTGAGTAGAGAGGGAATCTGCCCTAGGGTCAGAGTGCTTGCTCTTACTTAGATCCATGGTTGTCTTATCATATCAAAGACTGAAACTGGCTTGGGCCGTTTGTTTTTGTCTTCAAACACAGTGAAAAGAGCCAGGGTTGAACAGAGTTTAAACTAAACATGAGTGTTTTTGCAAGATAAGGATTGATTGATTGTAGTACTCTGAACTTAATGAAAGTTGAGTTTATCCACTCTCAGAGACAAGGGAAGTGGGCGGAGCAATAAAAGAGCGGGAAAACTGAAGAGGACTATATAAGATGGAGGGAGACCGTAAGGATATGTGCCACTCTGCAGACTGGTATCGGCTTTCTTGAAAACTTTAATAAAGTCATTTCTTGATGCAACAAAAACTCTGTAAGACCTTATTTGTAATAAAGTATAGTGGTTATTTTCCACAACACTAATCATGGCTACCCAGACTATTTGCATTGTCCCACCCACACCACCCCACCCCACCCCATCATTTATGCTGCTGCTGCTCTGTTTATTATCTATGCATTGTCACTTTAACTGTACCCACATGTACATATTACCTCAATTACCTCGACTAACCAGTGCCCCCGCACATTGACTCTGTACTGGTACTTCCTGTATATAGCCTCCGTACCGTAAATGTACTGTTATATTATTTTACTGTGCTCTTTAATCATTTTTTACTTAACACTTTTTTTCTTAAAACTGCATTGTTGGTTAAGGGCTTGTAAGTAAGCATTTGTATTCGTGCGCATGTGGCAAATAAAATTGATTTGATTTGATTTTGGTGGTGTAGTATGAAAGTCAACCTGAAGGGGGCAACTTAACAAAGCACACACACCCCTGAATCAGAGGATGCCATACAGACAGACACATCCCCATGGTCTACTACTGCATGTAATACAGAACAACATGACGCATCAACAGTAGGACAGAGGGTGTCAAAGCTCTGTGATAGATAGATCAGCATTGTTCTGCTCCTTACCTTTTACACTTCAAACTGACTGACTAGTCATGAGAAATTGGCTGATCCTGCATGTTCTGGCTGCATGCTGCTTTGGTATAACATCACTCTGTTCATCTGTCTCTTTCTGTGCATTTGTTCATTTATTTAGATACATTATTATTATATGTTGTGAAGATATATTTCTCTTTATTTTTCAGGGTGCAGAGCAGAAGACAATGTAACACAGCCAACAGAAGATGTAATGGTTGTAGAAGGACAACCAACAACACTCACTTGTCTATTCGATACAACTGATCGATTGCCATATCTCTTCTGGTACAAACAACAAGCAAATAGCAACCCGATGTTTATGCTGAGAAGGGATACATTTTCACCTGGAGACAGTGCTACTGAGTTCAAGGAGAGATTTGATGCCCATCTGAATGTCACAGCAAAGTCAGTACCATTGACGATCCAGAGGGTGCAGATGTCTGACTCTGCTGTGTACTACTGTGCTCTGAGACCCACTGTGACAACAGGAGATACAGCCCCCTTACATAAACAATGTGTCCATAGAAACATACAGTACTACTGAAAAGTTGGGACCCAAAGCAAAAATGTAAATATACTTTATAGTAGACCTGAATTAGATACTCTGTAGGCTCCATGAGTGTTTGTTCCTGAATTATAATAGAATAACTGCACCTTTTCAACATCATGGAACATTTATGTAATTGACAATTGCTTTAAGCTACTTTTGATTTCATTTGAGCTAGATGTAAGCTTTTCACTTTGTCTAATGTACTGCATTGAATGTACCTGGCGCCGACGAAGATGGCGGCCTTGCGGCTAGCTCTTAGGAAACTTTGCAGTATATTTTTTTTTATGTATAATTTTTTACATTATTAGCTCAGAAAGTGTTTTGCATCATTACATACAGCCGGGAAAAACTGTTTGATATCAGAGCGGCGGTAACTCACCAGCATTACGACCAGGAATACGACTTTCCCGAAGCAGATCCTTTGTTTACTCTCCCCAGGGCAACTGAACTGATTCCAAAACATCGCCGGCGTAGGAGAGGCACTCGGAGCGGCCTGCTGGTTAGACTTAGAAGGCGCGCACACCACCCACCGCTTCCAAGTATTCTACTCACTAATGTTCAGTCTCTGGTTAACAAGCTCGATGAACTACGGGCAAGGATTTCTTTCCAGAGAGACATCAAGGCCTGTAACATACTCTGTTTCACGGAAACATGGCTCTCTCTGGATATTCTGTCGGAATCGGTCCAGCCAGATGGGTTCTCAGTTCATCGCGCAGACAGGAATAAATAAATGTGTGTTTCATGATTAACGACTCATGGTGTAATTGAAGTAACATACAGGAACGTGAGTCCTTCTGTTCACCCGACCTAGAATATCTCACAATCAAATGCCGACCGTATTATCTCCCAAGAGAATTTTCTACGGTTATAGTCACGGCCGTGTATATCCCCCCTCAAGCCGATACCACGACAGCCCTCAAAGAACTTCACTGGACCTTATGCAAACTGGAAACCACATATCCTGAGGCTGCATTTATTGTAGCCGGGGATTTTAACAAAGCAAATTTGAGGACTAGGCTGCCGAAGTTCTATCAACATATCGACTGTTGTACTCGCGCTGCTAAAATCCTCGACTATTGCTATTCGAACTTCCGCGATGGTTATAAGGCCCTCCCCCGCCCTCCTTTCGGCAAATCTGACCACGACTCCATTTTGCTTCTACCTTCCTATAGGCAGAAACTCAAACAGGAAGTACCCGTGCTAAGGACTATTCAACGCTGGTCTGACCAATCGGAATCCACGCTTCAAGATTGTTTTGATCACGCAGACTGGGATATGTTCCGGGTAGCTTCTGAAAATAATTTAGACGTATACACTGAAACGGTGACTGAGTTTATCAGGAAGTGTATAGGTGATGTTGTGCCCACTGTGACTATTAAAACCTACCCTAACCAGAAACCGTGGAAAGATGGCAGCATTCGCGCAAATCTGAAAGCGCGAACCACCGCATTCAACCATGGCAAGGTGACTGGGAATATGGCAGAATACAAACAGTGTAGCAACTCACTCCGCAAGGCAATTAAACTGGCAAAACACCAGTATAGAGACAAAGTGGAGTCGCAATTCAACGGCTCAGCCACGTCGCCGACACCGACATCTCGCTTCCAGACAAGCTAAACACCTTCTTCGCCCGCTTTGAGGATAACACAGTGCCACTGACGAGGCCCACTACCAAAGACTGTGGCCTCTCCTTCTCCATGGCCGACGTGATTAAGACATTTAAGCATGTTAACCCCCGCAAGGCTGCCGGCCCAGACGGCATCCCTAGCCGCGTCCTCAGAGCATGCGCAGACCAGCTGGCTGGTGTGTTTATGGACATGCTTCAAGATGGCCACCATTGTTCCTGTACCCAAGAAAGCAAAAGTAACTGAACTAAATGACTATCGCCCTGTAGCACTCACCTCTGTCATCATGAAGTGCTTTGAGAGACTAGTCAAGGATTATATCACCTCTACCTTACCTGTCACCCTAGACCCACTTCAATTTGCTTACCGCCCCAATAGATCCACAGACGATGCAATCGCCATCACACTGCACACTGCCCTATCCCATCTGGACAAGAGGAATACCTATGTAAGAATGCTGTTCATTGACTATAGCTCAGCATTCAACACCATAGTACCCTCCAAGCTCATCATTAAGCTTGAGGCCCTGGGTCTGAACCCCGCCCTGTGGAACTGGGTCCTGGACTTCCTGACGGGCCGCCCCCAGGTGGTGAAGGTAGGAAACAAACATCTCCACTTCGCTGATCCTCAACACTGGGGCCCCACAAGGGTGTGTGCTCAGCCCCCTCCTGTACTCCCCTGTTCACCCATGACTAGCGTGGCGCCAAGCACGCCTCCAAACTCATCCATCAAGTTTGCAGACAAAACACACAGCAGTAGGGCCTTGTGACCAACAAGTGGACGAGACCGCCTACAGGGAGGAGGTGAGGGCTCTGGGCGTGTGGGCCAGGAAACATAAACCTCTCACTTCAACAATCAACAAAACAAAGGAGATGATTTGTGGAACTTCAGGAAAACAGCAGGGGTGCACCCCCCTATCCACATCGACGAACCGCAGTGAGGAAGGTGGAAACCTTCAAGTTCCTTGGCGTACACATCACGCACAAACTGAAATGGACCACCCACGCAACAGTGTGTGTAGAAGGCCCAACATAGCCTCTTCAACCTCGAGGCTGAAGAAATTCGGCTTAGCACCTAAACCCTCACAAACTTTTACAGATCCATGAGAGATCATTCGGCTGTATCACCGCCTGTACGGCAACTGCACCGTCCACAACAGGCTCTCAGAGGTGGGCTGCACTGAGCTAGGTCCGGGCAAATATCAAGCCTCACCACCGACACTTACATCCTCAATGGGGACCGAGAGAATTAAAACAGCTTATATCGCCAACACCGTACATAGACTAACTGGTATCCGCATTACGGCCCAAGGAATACGATTTTCCCCGAAGAAAGACCCTTTGTTTACTCTCCCCAGGGCAACTGAACTGATTCCAAAACATCGCCGGCGTAGGAGAGGCACTCGGAGCGGCCTGCTGGTTAGACTTAGAAGGCGCGCACACCACCCACCGCTTCCAAGTATTCTACTCACTAATGTTCAGTCTCTGGTTAACAAGCTCGATGAACTACGGGCAAGGATTTCTTTCCAGAGAGACATCAAGGCCTGTAACATACTCTGTTTCACGGAAAACATGGCTCTCTCTGGATATTCTGTCGGAATCGGTCCAGCCAGATGGGTCTCAGTTCATCGCGCAGACAGGAATAAATAAATGTGTGTTTCATGATTAACGACTCATGGTGTAATTGAAGTAACATAAGGAACGTGAGTCCTTCTGTTCACCCGACCTAGAATATCTCACAATCAAATGCCGACCGTATTATCTCCCAAGAGAATTTTCTACGGTTATAGTCACGGCCGTGTATATCCCCCCTCAAGCCGATACCCACGACAGCCCTCAAAGAACTTCACTGGACCTTATGCAAACTGGAAACCACATATCCTGAGGCTGCATTTATTGTAGCCGGGGATTTTAACAAAGCAAATTTGAGGACTAGGCTGCCGAAGTTCTATCAACATATCGACTGTTGTACTCGCGCTGCTAAAATCCTCGACTATTGCTATTCGAACTTCCGCGATGGTTATAAGGCCCTCCCCCGCCCTCCTTTCGGCAAATCTGACCACGACTCCATTTTGCTTCTACCTTCCTATAGGCAGAAACTCAAACAGGAAGTACCCGTGCTAAGGACTATTCAACGCTGGTCTGACCAATCGGAATCCACGCTTCAAGATTGTTTTGATCACGCAGACTGGGATATGTTCCGGGTAGCTTCTGAAAATAATTTAGACGTATACACTGAAACGGTGACTGAGTTTATCAGGAAGTGTATAGGTGATGTTGTGCCCACTGTGACTATTAAAACCTACCCTAACCAGAAACCGTGGAAAGATGGCAGCATTCGCGCAAATCTGAAAGCGCGAACCACCGCATTCAACCATGGCAAGGTGACTGGGAATATGGCAGAATACAAACAGTGTAGCAACTCACTCCGCAAGGCAATTAAACTGGCAAAACACCAGTATAGAGACAAAGTGGAGTCGCAATTCAACGGCTCAGCCACGTCGCCGACACCGACATCTCGCTTCCAGACAAGCTAAACACCTTCTTCGCCCGCTTTGAGGATAACACAGTGCCACTGACGAGGCCCACTACCAAAGACTGTGGCCTCTCCTTCTCCATGGCCGACGTGATTAAGACATTTAAGCATGTTAACCCCCGCAAGGCTGCCGGCCCAGACGGCATCCCTAGCCGCGTCCTCAGAGCATGCGCAGACCAGCTGGCTGGTGTGTTTATGGACATGCTTCAAGATGGCCACCATTGTTCCTGTACCCAAGAAAGCAAAAGTAACTGAACTAAATGACTATCGCCCTGTAGCACTCACCTCTGTCATCATGAAGTGCTTTGAGAGACTAGTCAAGGATTATATCACCTCTACCTTACCTGTCACCCTAGACCCACTTCAATTTGCTTACCGCCCCAATAGATCCACAGACGATGCAATCGCCATCACACTGCACACTGCCCTATCCCATCTGGACAAGAGGAATACCTATGTAAGAATGCTGTTCATTGACTATAGCTCAGCATTCAACACCATAGTACCCTCCAAGCTCATCATTAAGCTTGAGGCCCTGGGTCTGAACCCCGCCCTGTGGAACTGGGTCCTGGACTTCCTGACGGGCCGCCCCCAGGTGGTGAAGGTAGGAAACAACATCTCCACTTCGCTGATCCTCAACACTGGGGCCCCACAAGGGTGTGTGCTCAGCCCCCTCCTGTACTCCCTGTTCACCCATGACTGCGTGGCCAAGCACGCCTCCAACTCAATCATCAAGTTTGCAGACAACACAACAGCAGTAGGCTTGATTACCAACAATGACGAGACCGCCTACAGGGAGGAGGTGAGGGCTCTGGGAGTGTGGTGCCAGGAAAATAACCTCTCACTCAACATCAACAAAACAAAGGAGATGATTGTGGACTTCAGGAAACAGCAGAGGGTGCACCCCCCTATCCACATCGACGGAACCGCAGTGAGGAAGGTGGAAAGCTTCAAGTTCCTTGGCGTACACATCACCGACAAACTGAAATGGACCACCCACGCAGACAGTGTGGTGTAGAAGGCGCAACAGAGCCTCTTCAACCTCAGGAGGCTGAAGAAATTCGGCTTAGCACCTAAAACCCTCACAAACTTTTACAGATGCACAATTGAGAGCATCATGTCGGGCTGTATCACCGCCTGGTACGGCAACTGCACCGTCCACAACTGCAGGGCTCTCCAGAGGGTGGTGCGGTCTGCCGAACGCATTACCGGGGGCAAACTACCCGCCCTCCAAGACACATACAGCACCCGATGTCACAGGAAGGCCAAAAAGATAATCAAGGACATCAACCACCCGAGCCACTGCCTGTTCACCCCGCTATCATCCAGAAGGCAAGGTCAGTACAGGTGCATCAAAGCTGGGACCGAGAGAATTAAAAACAGCTTATATCGCAAGGCCATCAGACTGTTAAATAGCCATCACTAGCACATTAGAGGCTGGTGCTGCCTATTGAAATCACTGGCCACTTCAAGAAATGGAACACTAGTCACTTGAATAATGTTTACATATCTTGCACTACTCATCTCATATGTATATACTGCATTCTATTCTATAATATTATACTGTATCTTAGTCAATGCCGCTCTGTCATTGCCTGTCCATATACAGTATGTATATGTAATGAGTATATGTGTGTATTGAGTATATGTTGTGAAATTGTTAGATATTACTTGTTAGATATTACTGCACTGTCAGTGCTAGAAGCACAAGCATTTCGCTACACCCGCTATAACATCTGCTAAACACGTGTATGTGACAAATAACATTTGATTTGATTTGATTTGCAGAGCGCGGGAATATCTAATATTTCCGTACTCAATATTGACTCATACATTTTTACACAATCTTTCCTCTCTCTGAACAGGCTCCTCCTTCATGTCTGTCAGTTGATGGTGATATACAGGCTGAGATGGACATGGAAGAGAAAGAGAGGATCTCTACCTCTTACTGTAACTCACAGTCACTCTCTTTGTGTTCTGCATAACCATGGTACTCTGTCTGATCATCTGGCTGGTTCTTGCTGTATTGTGCTTCGGTATGAAGGAACCTTTTCTCTCATTGGTATATCTCATCTTTAACTAATTTTAACTATTGTTTTATAATTTCTATCATCTTAAAATTATCACTCAGTCTTTATTTGTTCCCCAGAGTGCACAGGAGATAATGTGCAACAGCAACCAGGAGGTGTGATTGCTACAGAAGGAGGACTGGTAACACTGAGTTGTCAATATAACACCACCAGTGCTATAATGTATATCTATATTGGTACAAACAAGAAGCAAATGACTTATCTTAACATATGCTGACCAGTTAATATTTTGGAGAGGTTTGATTCAAGTCTAAATGCCAAGAAACAATCAGTCCCCTTGATGATCTGGAGGGTGCAGCTGTCTGACTCTGCTCTGTACTACTTTGCCCTGCAGCCCACAGTGACAGGAAACCTGTGCACACTGTACAAACACCTGGAAAGAAAACTGACGTCCCCTAGACATCCCCTCATTTTCTATTTCAACATTACCTTGCATAGACAAAACACACATACACAGAAAATGAGCAATGAAAGATTTTCAATGAATACTAAAAATAAACATAAATATGGAAAAGTGACAGAAATGTATTAAGGCTATCTGATTGTGTTGCTTATATATACTTTAGATTCTAGATTTAAATAACAAAATAAACTATTAATGAATGAATGCCTCATGTTGAATAAATGAATATCTTGCAGATCTTGCATCAAGCAACTCTGTTGCCCTAAAATCAAGAAAGTAAATGGAGATAAATAACACAGTTTTATACATTATCCAATAGATGGAGACTAAGGTAATCATATTTCAGTGCAGCCCTGCATTTTGAGGATGTGACAGTGGCATCAAGCAGCAGCAAGAAGTCTGCTGTTACTTCTGCTCATCTGACAACTCTCTGTATTTTGGGGTGGGGCTTCAAAGGTCTGAGAACAGATGGTCCATTCAAAACTAGAAGGAGGAGGATGTTTTTTTAGTATACACAAATCTTGTTGTGCTGTGTGTTATCATTTTAACTTCCAGTTTCAGCCACAATGTCAACCCCCACATTTATTTTGCTTTTAGTACTTGCATGTAAGTAATCTACTATAATCTGTAAAAAATATATGTTATATGTTGAATCGAAAACAAAGATTTTATAAGTTGAAAATAGATCTATAACAGAGTAATAATAGAAGAATAACATATGTTGCATCTCTTGCAGGTGACAGTAATGGTCAGACCATTGAGCCAACCAGAGAGGAGGTGTACGCTCCAGCAGGTAGCAATATTACACTTTCATGCACCTACTCATCTGCAGTCTCTCTTCAATGGTATCTCCAGGACCCTGGATCAGCTCCTCAGTATATCCTGCTTATCCTGCATGGTGTTGGGTCTCCATCACGGGCTCCAGGTCTGGATCCTAGACTGTCAGTCAAACTAAATGATGAGAAGACCCGTGTGGATCTGGAGATCTCCTCTGCTAAAGAGAAAGACTCTGCTATGTACTACTGTGCACTGACGCCCACAGTGAAAGGAAACTTACATACGCTGTACAAAAACCTAACCTGACACATTCTATAGTTACATGACATGACCGAAAGGAGATGTTACATCTCATGGTTTTTCTTTTTAACAGGAAACCTAGTGGGTGGGTTTAAAAACCTATGTAAAGAGGAGGAGCAACATTGTATATGCCTACTTATCATTTCAAAGTCATAGCAGTGTTTTGGCTTTGCTGTTTTCTAAATAACACATTCATTTCTGATCTCTAACATGGACCATGATGCTACTCTGTTATATTCTACTGATTTCAGAGGATGAATATCATTTTAGAGGATGATATTACTCCAACCAGCCCTGAGGAGTATTATTTAGAGGGTAGCAGATTTAAGATCTCCTGTTACTATATAGTAAAATCAGACTTTCTGCTCTGGCACAGACAGTACTCTGGATCAGCATACCAATTCCTCTTCTACACTACAGTCACCTCAAAGCCCTCTGTAATAAGAGCTAAACCTAAAGACCCCCGACTCTCTGTTAATCTGAATGAAGAGAGAACCTGTGTGGATCTGGACATCTCCTCTGCTGAAGTGACAGACTCTGCTCTGTATTACTGTGCCCTGCGGTCCACAGTGACAGGAAACCCAAACACACCGTATAACAACTGTACAGAAGCAGTGGATAACAATCCTTGTTGTGAACTGTTTCAGATCTAATTATTATATGTCAGTTCCAACTCAGGTTGACAACACCTTAATGCTTAAAGAAGTCCACATTATCAGTCCTTCTTCACTCCAATCAATACCATTTAAATCAACAAGATATAGAGTATAACTCCCTATCTTCTATAGAGGGCCTCACCTCAACACTACAAAAACGTATATTTCTCTGAGCAGGTGTCTCTTCCTCCTGACAGTGGAGGTAGTTGCAGGGCAGACAGACAGCAGCCAAACAGTACATATCACATATCACATCCTGCAGATCACAGTACACTGCATATCACATATCAAACAGTACACTGCATATCACATATCAGTTTGGTAAACCCTCTTTCCTAGCTGCATTCTGTCACATAGCCCATGATGTTGCTCACTTCAATCTTACTGTTTTCAGCACATGTTGGTAAGTAAGATTTTATGTAAAGTCATTTCCACACTGTCTAATGACACTATTTTATTATTGAATATTGTTGTGCTTCAATTATAAAATATGAAGTTCTAGTCATGTACTGTATTTATTAGTCTTCATGTGTAATTTCTTCTCCTTCACAGGTGATACTTTAGAGGATGATATTACTCCAACCAGCCCTGAGGAGTACTTTATGGAGGGTAGCAGAGTTAAGCTCTCCTGTAACTATACAGTAAAAGCAGAAAGGAAAGCAAAAGTTGGCAGATCGCTGTGCCTCTACGCCATATGTTGGTGAAAGTCAAATGCTAAACTTACTTGTGTTCCGGTTGAAATCTGAGAATGGAGATGGACCCATCAAAATCCTAGAATCTGTGGCTGACGTTGAACCAACACCTAGTGGGAGAACCCTGCAAAGAAGGAGGAAGAAAGAAAAGAAGAAAAGTGAAATGGACTTGAACAAGCCTGAAAGCTGCCCGTCAAGAGAAGAAGAAAGACCTGAAAAGGATGTAAAGAGTATGGAAAAATCTGAAGATGTTGAACATGTCGATTCAGAAAATGAAGACATTGGGATGTTATGATCTACCTGACACAAACTTTCAAGACAGAGAAGATGAAGAAATGTCATAACCTTACAGTTTGGATTTGGACATCACATGGAATTTAATGACTGGAAACCTGAGGCGAGAGCAGGAGAGGAACATGAAACAGATTCCATTGATGAAATAAATGAAGCTGAAGAAGCAGCACAAACTAAGCTGAGGAAGCTAATGGAGCAAATGAAAATGAAACAAATGAGGTTGAGGAATTTGACCCAGTTGAAGACAACTCAGAAGAAAGGGAGGAAGTAGAAACAGAGATAAGAAGATCTCAAAGAATCAAGAAAGTTCCTACTCTACTGACCTGTGACACAGCTGGAGTTCCTTGTGTGGTGTCTGTTCCTATAGTGAGATATATCTCCCCTTTTTCCTAGTGGATTGGGTAATACTATGTACACGTATCCCTTATTCCTTTTGAGTTACACAAGGGTTGACACATTTCCTGTGTTTGTACATACGCATGTTTTTTTACCCTGGTTTACTTGTCATGAGGACATGAAAACTATTTTGGTAGGGGGAGAGTGTAATATTTTGTTAACACATGTTTTAGAAGCACTCAGTGGTGTAAAGTACTTCAGTAAAAATACTTTAAATAACTACTTCATTTTTTTTGGTATCTGTACTTACTTTACTTTTTTCTTTGACAACTTTTACTTTTACTCCACTACATTCCGAAAGAAAATAATGTACTTTTGACTCCATACATTTTCCCTGAAACCCAAAAGTACTCATTACATTTAGAATGCTTAGCAGGACAGTAAAATGGTAAAATTCACACAATTATCAAGAGAACATCCCTGGTCATCCCTATTGCCTCTGATCTGGTGGACTCACTAAACACTAAATAATGCTTTGTTTGTAAATGATGTCTGAGTGTTGGTGTGTGCCCCAGGCTATACGTTAATTTAAAAAACAACAAAGCATGTCATCTGGTTTGCTTAATATAAGGAATGTGAAATGATTTACACTTTTATTTTTGATACTTAAGTATATTGAAACCAAGTACTTTTAGACTCAAAATACTCAAGTAGTATTTTACTAGGTGACTTTCACTTTTACTTTAGTCATTTTCTATTAAGGTACCTTTAATTTTGCATCTGTAATTCATAAAGTTACAGGATAGAGGGATAATCTGTGACTCTGAGCTGTACAGATGATACAAGTAGAAGTAGCATTTGGCTTTACTGGTACAGACATTATTCTAACCAAGCTCCTCAGTTTCTACTGTATAAAAGGTGCCATATCATTTATCATATTCTTCACTCTTTAATCAGTAGTCTTCAATTCCACTTAGACATGTTTATATCAGTTGGAAAAGCACTTGGGAATATTACAAAGTGCAACAATCACACTTTTTATATGGTGTAGTATGAAAGTCAACCTGAAGGTGGCAACCTAACAAAGCACACACACCCTGAGTCAGAGGATGCCGTACAGACAGACACATCCCCATGGTCTACTACTGCATGTAATACAGAACAACATGAAGCATCAACAGTAGGACAGAGGGTGTCAAAGCTCTGTGATAGATAGATCAGCATTATTCTGGTCCTTACCTTTTACACAACAAACTGACTGACTAGTCATGAGAAATTGGCTGATCCTGTATGTTCTGGCTCCATGCTGATTTGGTATAACATCACTTTGTTCATCTGTCTCTTTCTGTGCATTTGTTCATTTATTTATATACATTATTATTATTCGTTGTAAAGATATATGTATCTTTCTTTTCAGGGTGCAGAGCAGAAGAGAATGCAACACAGCCAACAGAAGATGTAATGGTCTTAGAAGGACAACCAACAAAACTCAGTTGTACATTTGATACAACTGATCGATCGCCAACTCTCTTTTGGCACAAACAACAAGCAAATGGCAAGCCCATGTTTATGCTGAGAAAGGATACAGTTGGAGTCGGGGAAACTGCTGCTGAATTCAAGGAGAGATTTCATGCCCGTCTGAATGTCACAGCAAAATCAGTCCCCTTGATGATCCAGAGGGTGCAGATGTCTGACTCTGCTGTGTACTACTGTGCTCTGAAGCCCACTGTGACAACAGGATATACAGCCCCCTTACAAAAAGTATAGGTTTTTAATGTGCCTATAGAAACATACAGTACCACTGAAAAGTTGGCACCAAAGCACAAAATGTATTTCAATATACTTTATGTAGAGTAGCAGACCTGAATTAGATACTCTGTAGACTACATGGGTGTTTGTACCTGAATTATAATAGAATATGTATATGTTTTTAAAATATTTTTTTTCAGATAAATTAATCATACTCACTTCATACAACATTTCAGTCATTTCATGTGAGCTAGACATGTAGGTTTTACACTTTGTCTAATATACTGCAAAGAGTGCTAATGTCAAATGGACAACCTCCCGAGTGGCACAGTGGTCTAAGGCACTGCATCGCAGTGCTAGCTGTGCCACTAGAGATCCTGGTTTGAATCCAGGCTCTGTCGTAGCCGGCCGCGACCGGGAGACCCATTGGGCGGTGCACAATTGGCCCAGCGTCATCCAGGGTAGGGGAGGGAATGGCCGGCAGGGATGTAGCTCAGTTGGTAGAGCATGGCGTTTGCAACGCCAGGGTTGTGGGTTCGATTCCCACGGGGGCCCAGTATGAAAAAGATAATGTATGCACTCACTAACTGTAAGTTGCTCTGGATAAGAGTGTCTGCTAAATGACTAAAATGTAAATGAAATATTGACCCATACAATTCCATTAATTCTTACCCCTCTGTGAACAGGCTCCTCCTTCATGTCTGTCAGTTGATGGTGATATACAGGCTGAGATGGACATGGAAGAGAGAGAGGATCTCTACCTCTTACTGTCACTCTCTGTGTGTTCTGTATAACCATGGTCCTCTGTCTGATCATCTGGCTGGTTCTTGATGTATTCTGATGGAGATTTTTCTCACCTCATCTGTTTATGTTATTTTTCATTAATTTTAACTGCATTTTTTTCAAAATGTTATAATCTTTAACATTTAATTTTTCCCCAGAGTGCACAGGAGACAATGTGCACCAGCAATCTAAAGGTTTGATTGCTACAGAAGGAGGACTGGTAACTCTGTGTCACACCCTGATCTGTTTCATCTGTCTTTGTGCTTGTTTCCACCCCCCTCCGTGCCCCTCCAGGTGTTGCCCATCTTCCCCATTATCCCCTGTGTATTTATACCTGTGCTCTCTTTTTGTCTGTTGCCAGTTCGTCTTGTCAGGTCTTACCAGCGTGCTTTCCCATCTTCTTGTTTCTCAAGTTCTGTTTCCTAGTTTTCCTGGTTCTGACCATTCGCCTGCCCTGACCCCGAGCCTGCCTGCCGTCCTGTACCTGCCTGACTCTGACCTGATCATGAACCTCTGCCTGTCCTCGACCTGCCCCTTGCCTGCCCCGTGTTTATAATAAATTATCTGAGAACTGTACTATCCGCCTCCTGTGTCTGCATCTGGGTCATATCCTGAGTCGTGATTGATGTGTATTTTTAATAGACTATGAGATAAACTGGGTTAATCACGCACATAGAGTTAGAATTATTTGTTACTGGGCCAGGAATGTAATTGGGTCATTTCACTGTGTGTGTGGGGGTAAAGAGGGAAGCTGACCCAGGGTCAAATTGCTTGCTCTTACTTAGATCCATGGTTGTCTTATAATATCAGAGACTGAAACTGGCTTGGGCCTTTTGTTTCTATCTTCAAACACAGTGAAAAGAGCCGGGGTTGAACAGAGTTTAAACTAAACATGAGTGTTTTTGCAAGATAAGGATTGATTCATTGCAGTACTCTGAACTTAATGAAAGTCAAATTTAGCCGCCCTCAGGGACAAAGGAAGTGGGCGGAGTGATAAAGAGCGGGAAACTGAAGAGGGAGGGATTTGAACCTAGGGTGGGGGAAGGAGACTATATAGGTAGGAGGGAGGGAGAGAGAGGGGGCGAATCTGCAGATTGGCCTGGCTTTGTTGACATTATAATAAAGTAATTCTTAATCCCACAAACACTCTGGAAGGACTGATTTGTAATAAAGTATAGTGGTTATTTTCCACAACATGATACTCTGAGTTGTCAATATAACACCAGTGCTAATAATGCATATTATATTGGTACAAACAAGAAGCAAATAACTTCCCTTAACATATGCTGAGCCGTTATTATTTTGGATCTGGAGACAATGCTGCAGGGTTCAAGGAGGGATTCAATGAAAGTGTAAATGGCAAGACACAATCAGTCCCCAGGACGATCCAGAGGTTAAAGCTGTCTGATCCTGCTGTGTACTACTGTACTCTGATGCCCACTGTTACAACAGGATGTACAGCCCCTTACAAAAACACTGTGTGTGCACTTGGGTGCGTGTGTGCCATTTTTTAAGTCAAGGGGAGGTGTTACATAATTGAGGCAGAGGAAAGGAAATGCCTTTTATAGCTGACAGTGAGAAACCAGGGGAGTCATTCTGTCATTCTGTCACTTTTTAGTAGGTTACATTTTAATATTTGCTCTTGTGGGTAAGTTTGATGCTATTCTTCATATCCAATCACATATCCAATCTAGTTACTTGAGACTGGATAATATTTTGTCAATTCTTAATACACGACTGAATAATGAGTAGAATTCTAGGCTAATTTCCTGATAATAGTTCCTGTTTTCATAAATGTTTTACAGGTGGCAGTCATGGGAATGACATTACTCCAACAACAGATAAGGTGTTTGGGTTGGAGGGTGATGTCATAAAGCTGTTCTGTAACTACTCCTCTGCTAGTAATCTCCAGTGGTATCGACAGTACCCTGGATCATCTCCCATCTTCCTCCTCCTCACTGGAGTCACATCAAACCCGTCTGTGGTGAAAGCTAAACCTGAAGACCTTCGACTGTCTGTTAAACTGACAGGAGATCTCCTCTGCTGAAGTGACAGACCCTGCTCTGTACTACTGTGCCCTGCAGCCGACAGTGAGGAAACCTTCACACACTGTACAGAAACCTGAACAATAAAATGGACATCCCTAAGTGTAAAAAACTATCAGGCTCATTCTGAATTTCATCATTACCTTGTATAGACAAAACACACATACACTGAAAATGAACAATGAAAGATTTTCAATGAACAATAATAAAATATATAATACACATTTTTTATGGAAAAGTGACAGAAACTCATTAAGGCTGTCTGCTAGTGTTGCTGATTTATATTTTATATTTTCGATTGAAATAGGAAAACAACAAACTGTGAATGAATGAATGCCTCATGTTGAATAAATGAATATCTTGCAGATCTTGCATAAAGCAACTCTGTTGCCCTAAAATCAAGAAAATAAATGGAGATAAATAACACAGTTTTATACAATAGAGAGAGACTAAGGTAATCATATTTCAGGGCAGCCCTGCATTTTCAGGATATGACAGTGGCATCAAGCAGCAGCAAGAAGTCTGCTGTTACTTCTGCTCATCTGACAACTCTCTGAATTTCAATAGTAGCAATATTACACATTCATGCACCTACTCATCTGCAGTCTCTCTTCAATGGTATCTCCAGGACCCTGGATCAGCTCCTCAGTATATCCTATTTATCCTGCATGGTGTTGGGTCTCCATCACAGGCTTCAGGTCTGGATCCTCGACTGTCAGTGAAACTAAATGATGAGAAGAACCGTGTGGATCTGGAGATCTGCTCTGCTAAAGAGCAAGACTCTGCTATTTACTACTGTGCCAGTGACAGGAAACCCAGAAACACTGTACAAAAACCTGACAGCTCATGATAAACTCCTCTGATGCATCTTTTATGGCAGGGGTGGTGTTTACTTCTGTAGGTTCAAGAAAATCAATTATCCAATAAAAAACTGTGTTGGACTTCACTGCAGCATACAACGTCAGCTACAATATGATGGTTCTCTACACAGTTATTTTACTTTCTTCACTGACAGGTTAGTAAATTACTGTATTCCTGTCATTCTTTTAAGTATATGTTTTAGGCTAATGTATAGTTTATCTGTGCTATTGGATGTTAAAGTAAATACCAAGATCTTTCCTCATTTCAAATACATCTACCTTGTGATTTTTCCATTATCTCTTCACATTTGCAGGGGGCAGTTTTCAGCAGACCATCCAGCCAAACCAACATGAAGTGTATGGAGAGGAGGGTAGTAATGTTCAGTTTTCCTGCAACTACTCCTCAGCATACAGTGTACTGTGGTATAAACAGTATCCAGGATCTGCTCCCCAATTCCTCCTCTTCATCCACCATGCCTCTAGGACAGTAGTGAGAGCTAAACCTCCATACCCTCACCTCACTGTTAAACTGAACAAAGAGAAGACCCGTGTGGATCGGGAGATCTCCTCTGCTGAATTGACAGACTCTGTTCTGTACTACTGTAATGTATAGCCCACAGTGACAGGAAACACAACTTGATCATACAAAAATCAGACAGCCTGACACACAGATGTGGGATGTAGACTTTCCATTCAGAATGAACTTCATCTTATAAACACTGATAAAATATCATACAATTCAAACAATACGGTTTATTTGGATATGGTGATATGGTGCAGCATGGTATTGTATTGTGGATCCATTGAAAAAACAAAAACAAACCATAGCATTCCCTAGCCAGTTAGAAATGAAGTCTAAAATAAAGTGGAGGAGGCCAATAGGAACTGAAAACCCTTAAGCACAAACCATAGAAGAAGAGTTATACATCCAGTTATCAGATGAGGGGCCTCATAGAGAAACACTGGTAAAGGCTGGGTATACCTGCAACCAGTGGCGATTTTAGCATGTAAATCTTGGTGGGGAAAACTCAAACAAAATATTTTAGATGCATGCCAGCAAAGCCACTAAACAACACAACACTAAACAATATATTAATTGGACTATAACGGTGACAAACAGTGCCCACAAACTGTTAGGGACTACATAAAGCTGTCCCAACAACAGAGTCCCAACAGCAGTCCCAACACCTTACCACTGTTACACCTGGCTATCAGCGGAGACCTGTCTGTCAGTGAAACAGTTCATTTTGCCTCATTTACTGCCTTTAAAAAAACATATCAGATATGGCTGACTTGCTTAAACAAATGTGGTTTCTACTGACAATTGAGATGTACAAACTATGGCATAAGGGGACGACGAGCGGATAAGAGGCAATCCCTAATTTCGACTTAAGACATTAAGAGAGCTAGGACAGACGTAGTCAATACAAATATTTGTTCAGCACTTTTGAAATGTACAGCGACAGAATTCAGAACATGGGCCGTTCTTACAGTATTCTCCCTGCACACCAAGTCAGAACCGTAGGATAAATAAAGGGGGCATATAAGCAGACAATGAAAGCTCTTGCAATATTCGATAATGATATTTATCTAAAACAGGCTATAGGCTACATGTGCACCATCAAGTCAGAACAGTAGGCTAAATTATGAGGGGAAAAGGGACCAAATTATACACAACATACACAACATACACTTAGCATTACTTTCTTAGCTACTGTATAAATATCTCCCTGGCATATTACATACTTTATTGAGCAGCATACAAGACATATTTGGACTCACCTTGTTGTGCTGTGTTCACTTGAACAGGAAGGTTGCGCGGCGGTCCTTTGTGGGCAAATTTTGTCATCAAACTTTGTCATCGCAGTCTGGCATTCTCTGGATTTATGGTGCTTTCAAGACAACTGGGAACTCTGAAAAAAACAAGGTTCAATCATGCCGTTAGTGATCTTCAGGTCAGAGCCCTAGAAAGAGGACAGAGTTCCCAACTTGGAATTTCGAGTTGGATGACCGTTCAAAATATATTTTCCCAGTCTGCGCTAGTTTTTTTCCAAGTTCCCAATTGTCTTGAACTCACTGAAGTCTGAGATTTCCCAGTTCCGAGTTTCCAGTTGTTTTTGACAGCATGGCCAATGTTGAATGTTTATCCTTTTAAGCTTGGAAAAGAGACCCTTAAACCCAGACTTGGATCACACATCCACTCCACTGAATAGCAGGCTAGTGATTGCTTTGAAATGCTTGCAGTTAGCCACTGATTCCTTCCAAACCACTCATTGTTGAATTTGCGATTTCCAACTTGTTGTGTAATGTTTATGTCCAATGAGTACCGGTACGTTTTATCTATAATTTCTCTTCATAATTTCTCTTCATGTAACAAGGATTGAAAAGGATTTGCTAGTAGACTGTCCACTTAATTCATGATGATGACTGCTAGCTTGCTAGCTAAGATTTAGAAAGTATGATGTTGACATGATCAGTCCAATCAAAGCCACTGTAGATATAACATGATTTGACATTATTTTATCTGTGGCCAATGACCTTGAGCCTTCTTGGATGGGCACTTCTAATGTAACTCTATGGCAGCACCCAAAGGGCTCGATTTTTGAGCTCTCCCAGTAGATTTTGCAGTGAAGTAGTGTCCCCATGAGTGAAAGGAACACTGAGCCAATCACGGCGCAACTAGAGAAGATTACCAACTCCTACACTCAGTATTTTCCGCTGGCTACCCCACCACCACAGAAAGCACTGAGCTAGGCTGAAACACCATCATTTTGGAGCTGCCTTACTCAACTAAGCAAAACAGAAAGTATGTTTGTATGCGGCACAATTAACTAAACATTTTTATTTTTTATTTTTTACATTGTTTGCAATCTGATATGTGACATGAAATACAAAATAACATGAAAAACCGGCAACAAAGCTGAACAGGTTGGCTCAGAGCCCCACCTGCCCTGAATGACAGGTTGCCACTGCCTGCAACCATGATGATGTCTCTGTAGAGGATCTACTCAGCTCTCTCACTGTCTTATCTCTCTGTTGGTTTATCTAGTCTGTGTCAGGATGTCACTCATATTACTGTTGCTCCTTTCTGCATTTGTAGGTGATATTAAATTTAATGCAGTGAAATTGCTTTTTTCAATGAACGATTGCATTAAAAACTAGGTGGTATTTTACTGGAAAGTTTACATAATTTTTCTTGTCATGCACTTTATGGACACCTAATCCAGGCCCATGGTGACAGGAAACACACTGTACAAAAACCTAATCAGGGACCACTTCAGCAGGAATGTATCCGTTTTTTGTTTGAACTTGTGTCTAACCCTTACTTTTAGACATCAAAACACTAAACAAATGCTGTTAATGTTTCCTGTAAATAAAGTTTATGACGCAAATGTTTCACCTGTCCTTAATTTGATTTGAATATTTAGACAGATTCTGTCAATTTGATGCCTAATCCTATTCTGCTACAGTCAGGTATTTTAAACATATCATATACACACAACATGCATACATTATGTGACATTGTTGCTCTCAACATGGACCCTCTCAGAGATTTGGTCCTCTGGTGGTAAATCCATGTACTGCACTCTTTAGAGGAACATAGCTGAAGCCAACTGACTGGTAATTGGCCAGGCAAACATAAAACATAAAAAGGTTAGATATGAAAAGTAATTCAAGTTCATTATTCTTGTGAGGATTTAATGGATTTATTCTCAGAACCTCCTCAACATTTAAATGCGGTCAGCAAAGTGTTAGTAGAGTATAAAGGGTTTTCTAAATATTTACCCCAAAACATCTGTTTCTGCATCTCCTGGCTGATCTTCAGGTGAGGTACCTTCTTATCCTACATGTGCTGCCCACTACACCTTCTGAAGGACGGATTAATCAGGCAGGTGGCTCGTCCACTGCTTCTCACTCTTCAGCCACAACCACTGAGATGTTCTCTCTGCCTCCTGATCAATTACATGACAGATCTTCTTAGTCTGTGCTCCTCCTATAGATTGCCCTCCACAGTTATGAAGTCCAGTGACAAGGTTTTTCTATGTATAATAATGATACAATAGTTCCATCTAGTGTTCAACATTCTGTCCAACAAGGTGAAACCTTGACATTGCTTGTATTTTTAAAGGTAAGTTACTAGTGAGAGTCAATAGGTGTCCGTGGAGTCTCATAGTTTGCTTCTATTCCTTTAAGCTAGAGATATCCGTTTTTTTGCATGGGCTGTGCCTCAATCCACTGCATCAGCCTATGGCGGTCGTCTGCATCTGCGGTGGAAGGTGGGCGGGCTACAGCGGTGTTAGTCATACCATGAGACATCCCGAAAATCGGTCTTCTCACCAAAATGTCTGTAGCGTCCAAACTTTTTGGCTTCAAAAATGATATGCTCACTCTATTGAAAGATGAGACTCTCACGAATACGATGATGGGCTCTAGTCTAAAGTCTGTACCGACGATGTGCCAACTTCTGTTTGTAGCGTGGGCTACAAACTAATGTGACCCCACTGTGGAAAGGGGAGATTCTCACGAACACCATGGAGAATTCAGGGGTTCCTAAACTTGCTTGTATCTCCTAGATATAGGACAGACACTTCAAAACCTTATTCCTTAAGATATATTTTTTGAATGTTATTTTTTGCCATTTATGAATGTGTTATTCAATGTGTTTCAATGGGATTTGGTAGTAAAGGCCAAATTCTATATTTTATCAAATAATTTTGTTATATATTTTTTTATACCTAAAGTGGTCCTAAAATTCAAAATCAAATAGCTTAATGATCCAATGTATGACCATCTTAAAATAATTATATATGTCAATTTATAACCCCGCCAACCTCTTAGACTGTCACGAATGTTGAGAGACGGGTCAGACCAAGGTGCAGCGATAAAAAGCATACTTGTTTATTTACTCAATATACATACAACAAAACAATAAACAACGTAACGTGAAGTCCTCAGGCTATACGCTATACACATACACGCCTAAACGGAACAAGATCCCACAATACACAGTAGGCAATAGGCTACCTAAGTATGATCCCCAATCAGAGACAATGAGCGACAGCTGCCTCTGATTGGGAATCATACCCGGCCAGACATAGAAATAGGAAAACTAGAACCTATACATAGAAATTCTAACATAGATACTCACGCCCTGAGCAAACCAACTACAGACAACCGGCCTCTCAAGGCCAGGGCGTGACATAGACTAGAAAGGTAAATTATGCACGCAGCATGCCAACACTTTACAAGTTTCAGTGTGGTATCATTTCCTCCAACAATTAGCAAAACAAACTCAATCAACCTGAGAAGGGCAGCATTTATCAAGAAATCCCTTTGGCAGTTCAACTAAACAATTGAATATACAATAAGCTCCTCCCTTACTGCAGAGCCCCACAATAATGAGACTTCCCAGCTACAGTGGATGAAACATAAAGTCTATAACAGTCTATTCTTCCTCTATACATGAATCATAATGGCACCCTGGCTTACGAATACTTTACTTATCCTGGCTGCATGCTATTTTGGTACAGTATAGTGCTTTTCCTTCCTATTCTCTTTGTCTGAATTCTAGCTAATAAGTTATTATACCATTATTAAATTATTTAAAAAAACTATTATAACTACTTTTTCAGATTGCAGAGGTGAAGAGGCTGTTGACCAGCAGAGTGGACATGTTACTGCCCTTGAAGGAGGACTGGTAACACTCAGCTGTAACTACACTACCAGTAGTACATCTCCTAATCTCTTCTGGTACATCCAGTTAACTAGGGACTCTCCTCAGTATGTCCTGAGAAGAGATCGTTATTCAGAAGGGAGCAATAGTGATGAGTTCAAGAAGAGGTTTGATTCCAGGCTGAATTTCACATCTAGCTCTGTCCCCTTGACGATCCAGAGGTTGCAGCTGTCTGACTCTGCTGTGTACTACTGTGCTCTGAAGCCCACTGTGACAACAGGATATACAGCTCCCCTACAAAAACGAATGTAGCCTTGGAACTAGTGTAGAAAAAATGCAAGCTTTACTTCTGTGGTGGGTGTGATGTTAGCAGGGCTGTAGACCTCACACAGTGACACACAAAATAACATTCCAGAGGAGAGTGAATGCATGCAAACGTCAGTCTGAAGATGGAGAAATCAATCAGTGTATTGATCATTCGGATTATGACTACAGGTAAACAATACCTAAACATTTGAACAATCATCTTTTATTATCTATTTTTCCTCTGCAGGAATGGTATCTGGAGATAGTGTGACTCCTGACAAGGAGGAGTGCACCCCCACTGAGGGATCATCAGTATCTCTGTACATATGAAACAAGCAGCAGTAACATCTACCTTTACTGGTACCAACAACACCCTAACCAGGCACCTCAGTACCTACTGTATAAAGGATATAAAGGTGCCAGAGCAAATAGTGTTGACCATATCTCTAATCATCTCTATGAATCTACAACATCCCAAACGTCAACTACTCTCATGATTAAACAAGTAACACAGACACAGCTCTCTACAGCTGTGCCCTGAAGGACGGCCAGTGATACAGAGTCTCTGAGAGGCTGTACAAAAAGTAGTACACTGATAAATAATTTGATTTAGATGAGCTTGTTAGTCATTTCCTAACCACAGTTCATTATCAGGCAGCAGAGAGTCTGTAGATTAGATTATTGTGGTTATACCTGTTGTTAGAGTAAGTAAAAACACATTTAGCATAATAGGGGAAACTTGTATTATATACAAATTAGAGAATATTATCAAAATGGAAACCAAATAATTTGAAAATGCATTTTTCTTCCTGTTATTCATACACTTCAGAAGATCCTCTGAAAATGAGAAGTGTTGTGTTTATAGGAGGAGCTAGTATGAGAATGAAACGGAGAGACTCAAAATAGCATGAAGGTCTTTCCTCAGTTCATTGTAAGCTTCTCTCTCTAACATTAACCATGCTGTGCTTGTTCAACCTGTTCTTTTTAACATTTGTGGGTAAGTAGAATGCATTTAACAGTAATGATAATGTGTAATTTCTTCATTACAAGCATGGAAAAACAACACACAAGCTATGAACGGACAAAGATAACTTTTATCTGTAGTTTTCTGCAGTTGATAGTTGTGGGGATGGAATTTTCTCCAACAGTCTTGAGGAGGATGTGATACATGGTGGCAGTGTCAAGGTTTCATGCAACTATACAGTGTCTGGTGGAGGCAGTGTCTTATGGTATCACCAATATCCCACATCTGCTCCCCAATTTCTCCTCCTCATCTCAGTGTATTCTGCATCTGCTGAGACAATAGTTACTGCAGAACCACCATATCCTCGACTGTCAGTTAACATTGACAAAGTGGCTAAACGAGTGGATCTGAAGATCTACTCTACTGACGGGACAGACTCTGCTCTGTACTACTATGCTCTGAGGCCCACAGTGACAGGAAACCCAGAAACACTACAAATACCTTCCTGTAATAAAGTCCTACTAGTAAACACCATATAATAGGCAAGCATCTGCATACAAATGATCAGAGATCATGTTCATGATTATCCATCAATTAAGTCATATTTGTTATTCACAGATTATAATGTTGATATAATGTGGGTCCATTTACTGAATAGGAGGAGCTAAGATGAGAGGTGGAGAGATGATTCTCCTCTAACTGACTGGAACAGTGGGATGTCTTAAGTTCTGCTTCCTGATAACACACTGTTACACCCATCACCATGTTTCTCTACACATTGTTTCTCCTCTCTGCACTTGTTGGTGAGTATTAGTCTTACATAACATACTTTTAGTTTATTCAAGGTAACTGTCAAAGTGTCATTTGAAAATAGCACTTCCTAGAATAAATGTAAATGACTGATTATCTTTCCACTTGTATTGAATATGACACAGGGTATGTAATAATTTCTCATGAACTGAAAATGTTGATCTAAACTTAACTTTATTACAGGTGGCAGTTATGAAAATGTTGTTATTCTGTCTCTCACTGTTCAAATAAACCTACCATTAAAATTATAGACTGATCATGTCTTTGTCACTGGGCAAACGTACAAAATCAGCAGGGGATCAAATACTTTTTTCCCTCACTGTAACTTGTCTGTGTATAGTCGTATATAAGACACCTGCTGGGACGGCCCCGGCAGAGCTCCTGGTCGACATGTGTACATATGGTGCATTGAGTTGGTTGGAACCTCTCCAGCGTGGTGACAATAAACAATGATTCATTTAAGATTGACTTTGAGTGTCTCAGCTGGTAGAGCACGGCGCTTGTAACGCTAAGGTAGTGGGTTCGATCCCCGGGACTACACAAAAAAAAAAAAAAATGTATGCACGCATGACTGTAAGTCGCTTTGGATAAAAGCGTCTGCTAAATGGCATATTATTATTATTATTATAATTTCCAGGACATGGTGAAGATTTTCCAGGACATAACAATCTGTCTTTTGTAATCATACCAAACATAACATACCATACTTATTTGACTGTGCCAGATTTACATTTACTATGTTATGTCTATTCTATGAGACCAGGCTGTGTATAAAGCGGCCATATCACAGAGCAGTAGCGAACATACAGTTGAAGTTGGAAGTTTACATACACTTAGGTTGGAGTCATTAAAACTCGTTTTTCAACCACTCCACAAATGTATTTTTAACAAACTATAGTTTTGGCAAGTCGGTTAGGACATCTACTTTGTGCATGGCACAAGTAATTTTTCCAACAATTGTTTGCAGACAGATTATTTCACATATAATTCACTGTATCACAATTCCAGTGGGTCAGAAGTTTACATACACTAATTTAACTGTGCCTTTAAACAGCTTGGAAATTCCAGAAAATGATGTCATGGCTTTAGAAACTTCTGATAGGCTAATTTACATAATATGAGTCAATTGGAGGTGTACCTGTGGATGTTTTTCAAGGCCTACCTTCAAACTCAATGCCTCTTTGCTAAACATCATGGGAAAATCAAAAGAAATCAGCCAAGACCTCAGAAAGAAATGTGTAGACCTCCACAAGTCTGGTTCATCCTTGGGAGCAATTTCCAAATGCCTGAAGGTACCACGTTCATCTGTACAAACAATAGTATGCAAGTATAAACACCATGGGACAACGCAGCCGTCATACCGCCCTGGAACGAGATGCGTTCTGTCTCCTAGAGATGAACGTACTTTGGTGCGAAAAGTGCAAATCAATCCCAGAACAACAGCAAAGGACTTTGTGACGATGCTGGAAGAAACAGGTACAAAAGTATCTATATCCACAGTAAAACGAGTCCTATATCGACATAACCTGAAAGGCCGCTCAGCAAGGAAGAAGCCACTGCTCCAAAACTGCCATAAAAAAGCCAGACTACGGTTTGCAACTGCACATGGGGACAAAGATCGTACTTTTTGAAGAAATGTCCTCTGGTCTGATGAAACAAAAATAGAACTGTTTGGCCAGAATGACCATCGTTATGTTTGGAGGAAAAAGGTGGTTGCTTGCAAGCCAAAGAACACCATCCCAACCGTGAAGCACAGGGGTGGCAGCATCATGCTGTAGGGGTGCTTTGCTGCAGGAGGGACTGGTGCACTTCACAAAATAGATGGCATCATGAGGAAGGAAATGTATGTGGATATATTGAAACAACATCTCAAGACATCGTCAGGAAGTTAAAGCTTGGTTGCAAATGGGTCTTCCAGATTGACAATGACCCCAAGCATACTTCCAAATTTGTGGCAAAATGGCTTAAGGACAACAAAGTCAAGGTATTGAAGTGGCCATCACAAAGTCCTGACCTCAATCCTATAGAAAATGTGTGGGCAGAATTGAAAAAGTGTGTGCGAGCAAGGAGGCCTACAAACCTGATTCAGTTACACCAGCTCTGTCATTAGGAATGGGCCAAAATTCACCCAACTTATTGTGGGAAGCTTGTGGAAGGCTACCCGACACGTTTGACCCAAGTTAAACAATTTAAAGGCAATGCTACCAAATATTAATTGAGTGTATGTAAACTTCTGACCCACTGGGAATGTGATGAAAAAAATAAAAGCTGAAATAAATCATTCTCTCTAGTATTATTCTGACATTTCACATTCTTAAAATAAAGTGGTGATCCCAACTGACCTAAGACAGGGAATCTTTAACTAGGATTAAATGTCAGGAATTGTGAAAAACTGAGTTTAAATGTATTTGGCTAAGGTGTATGTAAACTTCCGACCTCAACTGTATCCCTGATAAGAAATATACATCCGCAATGTCCCGGACATCGACTGAACTGATCATATTTCACCTAATCCTGACAGACTCATCACTTTACTACTGTGTTCTCAGGGATTGTTATAACCAGTATTGTTATACCCTGTGATACATATAAGACCCTGTACAAAAACAAAATGCTTTGATGCTGTGTGGATCATAATTAAACATCAAACCACAATTTGATGTCATAATGGCAGAGGTTGAGATCAGAGAATTGTGGTCACACCTGTGCTGTGTTCAATCACCAGGTGTCAAGTTTTTCTCTGTCTTCATAGTCAATGAACTGTGAGAAAGATGTATTCTTCACTCTTCAATCAGTGGTCTTCAATTTCAATTACCATAGGCAGTTTTTTAAAATTGGCTGCATAATCACTAGGGAATTTGACAAAGTGCAAAAATATTATAATTTGTAGTTACTCCTCCTCACAATTCACACTGCCTGGTGGTGTAGTATGACAGTCAACCTGAAGGGGGAAACCTAACAAAGCGCCCTGAATCTGAGGATGTCAGACAGACAGACACCTCCCCATGGTCTACTACTGCATGTAATACAGAACAACATGAAGCATCAACAGTAGGACTGAGGGTGTCAAAGCTCTGTGATAGATAGATCAGCATTGTTCTGCTCCTTACCTTTTACACTTCAAACTGACTGACTAGTCATGAGAAACTGGCTGATCCTGCATGGTCTGGCTGCATGCTGCTTTGGTATAACATCACTCTGTTCATCTGTCTCTTTCTGTGCATTTGTTCATTTTATTTATATACATTATTATTATATGTTGTGAAGATATATTTATCTTTATTTTCAGGGTGCAGAGCAGAAGAGAGTGTCACACAGCCAACAGATTATGTAATAGCCGTAGAAAGACAACCAACAAAACTCAGTTGTACATTTGCTACAACTGATCAATTGCCATATCTCTTTTGGTACAAACAACAAGCAAATGGCAAGCCCATGTTTATGCTGAGAAAGGATACAGTTGGAGTCGGGGAAACTGCTGCTGAATTCAAGGAGAGATTTCATGCCCGTCTGAATGTCACAGCAAAATCAGTCCCCTTGATGATCCAGAGGGTGCAGATGTCTGACTCTGCTGTGTACTACTGTGCTCTGAAGCCCACTGTGACAACAGGAGAAACAGCTCCCTTTCAAAAACTATAGGTTTCACATGTGTCCATAGAAACATACAGTACCAATGAAAAGTTGGGACCAAAGCACAATATGTATTTCAATATACTTTATGTACAGTAGTAGACCTGAATTAGATACTCTGTAGGCTGCATAAGTGTCTGTACATTAATTACAATACGTTTATCATACTCACTTCATGGAACATTTATGTAATAGACAATTGCTTTAGGCTACTTTTCATTTCATGTGAACTAGACGTAAGCTTTTCACTTTGGCTAATGTACTGCAAAGAGTGCTTATATCTAATATTGACGAGGTAATATTGACCCATACATTTCTTTACAATCTTTCCTCTCTCTGAACAGGCTCCTCCTTCATGTCTGTCACTTGATGGTGATATACAGGCTGAGATGGACATGGAAGAGAGAGAGAGGATCTCTACCTCTTACTGTAACTCACAGTCACCCTCTGTGTGTTCTGCATAACCATGGTACTCTGTCTGATCATCTGGCTGGTTCTTGCTGTATTCTGCTTCAGTATGATGGAACTTTTTCTCTAATTGGTTTATATAATCGTCATCTATCTAATTTTCATTTTTTAAATCTTTCATTATCACTCACTTGATCTTTTGTTGTCTTCCAGAGTGCTCAGGAGACCATGTTCAACAGCAATCAGGAGGTGTGATTGCTACAGAAGGAGGACTGGTAACACTGAGTTGTCAATATAACACCACTGATACTAATGCATATTTATATTGGTACAAACAAGAAGCAAATGATGTCCCTAAACATATGCTGAGCTGTTATTCTTTTGGATCTGGAGACAACGCTGCAGGGTTCAAGGAGAGGTTTGATGCAAGTCTAAATGCCAAGACACAATCAGTCCCCTTGACGATCCAGAGGGTGCAGCTGTCTGACTCTGCTGTGTACTACTGTGCTCTGAAGCCCACTGTGACAACAGGATATACAGCCCCCTTACAAAAACACGGTGTGTGCATGTGGGTGTGTGTCACGTATTTTTTGTTGTGTGCCATTTTGTAAGTAAAGGGGAGGTGTTACATAATTGAGGCAGAGGAAAGGAAATGACAGTGAGAAAACAGGGGTCATTCTGTCATAACTATACTTGTGTTCACTCTTTTCACTGTGTTAAATAGCACTTACCAGAATGATACTGGGATCAATTTTTATATTTGCACAAGTGAGTTTTATGCTATTCTTCATATCCAATCACTTTGAATGTACTTACTGAAGACTGGAGTCATATTCCTGTGAAGGATCCTTTGTCCATTTTTAATACACTTAACTGAATAATGAGTAGAACTGTATGATAATTTCCTGATAATAATTCCTGTTTTCATAAATGTTTTCCAGGTGGCAGTCATGGGAATGACATTACTCCAACAACAGATAAGGTGTTTGGGTTGGAGGGTGTTGTCATAAAGCTGTCCTGTAACTACTCCTCTGCTAGTAATCTCCAGTGGTATCGACAGGACCCTGGATCATTGTAACGTATATGTCAGAAAGCAGGTGCAGAAGGTGAGTTTTAATACTGAACAGCTACAAAATAACAAACATGGGACGCATACTGAACATGAGAGAAAAACCAATAACACCTAAGGACTGATGACAACAGAGGGTTAAATGAAGGGGAAGTAATGAGGGAAGTGATGAAGTCCAGGTGTGCCTAATGATGGGGTGCAGGTGTGAGTAATGAAGGTTGCCAGGTGTGCCTAATGATGGGGTGTAGGTGTGAGTAATGAAGGTTGCCAGGTGTGCCTAATGATGGGGTGCAGGTGTGAGTAATGAAGGTTGCCAGGTGTACCTAATGATGGGGTGCAGGTGTGAGTAATGAAGGTTGCCAGGTGTGCCTAATGATGGGGTGCAGGTGTGAGTAATGAAGGTTGCCAGGTGTGCCTAATGATGGGTGGCCAGGACCAATGGTTAGTAGACTGGCAACGTCGAGCACCGGAGAGGGGGAGCGGGAGTAGACGTGACAGTCATCTCCCATCTTCCTGCTCCTCACTGGAGTGTCTTCAAACGCCTCTGTAGTGAAAGCTAAACCTGAAGACCCTCGACTGTCTGTTAAACTGAACGATGAGAGAACCTGTGTGGATCTGGAGATCTCCTCTGCTGAAGTGGCAGACTCTGCTCTGTACTACTATGCCCTGGAGCCCCAGTGACAGGAAACCCAGACACACTATACAAAAATCTGAAATGAAAACACTGAACCTCCCCTAAGAGAAAAATGTTCATTATTAGGTTATCTTCAATAGACAAAACATATACATGTAGGCTGGAAATGAACAGTGAATTATTTTCAATAAACAATAATATAATGTTGAAACAAATGAAAAAGTGATAGAAATTCATTTGGTTATCTGAATATGTTGCATATTTATACTGTAGATTCTAGATATTAATAGGAAAACAAAATAAACTGTAAAATAATGAATTGCCTCATGTTGAATAGATACATTTTCTTACAGATATGCCCTTCAAGCAATGTTTTCCCCTATGACATCACAGTAGACAGATCAGGTCCTTTTGTCAACTCTGTTGCCCTAAAATCAAGAAAATAAATGATAAATAACATAGTTTTATACAATATCCAATAGCGGGAGACTAAGGTAATCATATTTCAATGCAGCCCTGCATTGTGAGGATGTGACAGTTGCATCAAGCAGCAGCAAGAAGTCTGCTGTTACTTCTGCTCATCTGACAACTCTCTGTATTTTGGGGTGGGGCTTCAAAGGTTTGAGAAGAGATGGTCCAATCAAACTAGAAGTAGGAGGATGTTTTGTTAGTATACACAAATCTTGCTGTGATGTGTGTTATCATTTTAACTTCCAGTTTCAGCCACAATGTCAATCCTCACATTTATTTAGCTTTTAGTACTTGCATGTAAGTAATCTACTATAATCAGTACATTTTTATTGGTGTTATTTAGAATCAAAAGTGTTGATGAGTTGAAAATAGATCTATAACAGAGTAACAATAGAAGAATATCTGGCAGGTGACAGTAATGGTCAGACCATTGAGCCAACCAGAGAGGAGGTGTATGTTCCAGCAGGTAGCAATATTACACTTTCATGCACCTACTCATCTGCAGTCTCTCTTCAATGGTATCTCCAGGACCCTGGATCAGCTCCTCAGTATATCCTGCTTATCCTGCATGGTGTTGGGTTTCCATCACGGGCTCCAGATCTGGATCCTCGACTGTCAGTCAAACTAAATGATGAGAAGAACCGTGTGGATCTGGAGATCTCCTCTGATAAAGTGCAAGACTCTGCTATGTACTACTGTGTACTGATGCCCACAGTGAAAGGAAACCTACAAACGCTGTACAAAAACCTAACCTGACACATTCAATAGTTAGATGACCTACAGGAGATGGTACATCCAAGATGGCGTAGCAGTGCGGTCGTGGTCTTTGTTGTGTGTCTGTGTAAATAGCCTGTTTTTTGTATTTTTTTGTATTTTTCGTACATATTTCCCTATCACACTTTTCATCCTTCTACAAAATATACTTCCCTGCAACCCGCCTCACTCAATGTGGAACGGATTCTATTATTGACTTACCTTTTATCTAGAATCTCCAGTTGATACCAGCTAGCCAGCTAACTAGCTACTTGCTATTAGCCACCGTTAGCGGTTTTTCACCCAGAACACCGGATTTTCAGCCGGAATAACTGAATCACTGGACATTAACACCGGATCGCAACTAGCTAGTGGCAACCGAATTGGATGTTGCTGTTTGGCTAATCACCACTGCCCCTGAAGCAAGCACCAGTTAGCCTTGAGCTAGCCTTGAGCCAGGCCCATATCTCGGCTATCTACCTCTCTGTCTACCGGACGGGAGTAGCCAGCTAACTAGCTACTTGCTATTGGCCACCGTTAGCGGTTTCTCACCATTGTCCGTGGCCTGCACTACCTACCAGCCAGCTCTAGCCTGGACTATTATCGGACAGTCTGCACTGTCTGCACAGCGTGTTATCGACCCAGAACATATCGGTTTTTCTGGAATCACTGATTCACTGGATCTTTAACACCGGATCATCGTAGCTAGATAGCTGCAATCAAATGGACGTTGTTGTTGGCTAATCAGCCTTGAGCTAGCCGCGAGCCAGGCCCTTCTCCCGGCTATCTACCTCTCTGTCAACCGGACAGGACCTCCTAGTATTGACACGGAGCCTGCCATAGATAGCTCCTTTGTCCCACCCCCATACACGCGGAGACCGACTCAATCGGTGCCTCCAGAGATGCTATCTCTTTTATCGTTACCCAACGCTTAGGTTTACCTCCACTGTACTCATATCCTTCCATATCCTTTTCTGTACATAATGCCCTGAATCTATTCTACAACGCCCGGAAACCTGCCCCTTTTTTCTCTGTACCCAATGCACTAGAAGACCAGTACTTAAAGCCTTTTGCCGTATCCTTATTCTACTACTCCTCTGTTCCTCTGGTGATGTAGAGGTTAACCCAGGCCCTGTAGCCCCCAGTATCACTCCTAATCCTCAGGCGTTATCATTTGTTGACTTCTGTAACCGTAAAAGCATTGGTTTCTTGCACGTTAACATCCGAAGCCTCCTCCCTTAGTTTGAGTTATTCACTGTGTTAGCACACTCCGCCAACCCTGATGTTCTAGCAGTGTCTGAATCCTGGCTTAGGAAGGCCAACAAAAATTCAGACATTTCCATCCCCAACTACAACATTTTCCGTCTCGATAGAACTGTCAAAGGGGTGGGGTTGCAATCTACTGTAGAGATAGCCTGCAGAGCTCGATCATACTATCCAGGTCTGTGCCCAAACAGTTTGAGCTTCTACTTCTAAAAATCCACCTTTCCAGAAATACGTCTCTCACTGTTGCCGCTTGCTACAGACCCCCCTCAGCCCCGAGCTGTGCCCTGGACACCATATGTGAACTGATTGTCCCCCATCTATCCTCAGAGTTCGTACTGCTTGGTGACCTAAACTGGGATATGCTTAACACGCCGGCCAACCTACAATCTAAACTAGATGCCCTCAATCTCACACAAATTATCAAGGAACCTACCAGGTACAACCCTAAATCTGTAAACATGGGCACCCTCATAGATATCATCCTGACAAATTTACCCTCTAAATACACATCGGCTGTCTTCAACCAGGATCTCAGCGATCACTGCCTTATTGCCTGCATCCGTAATGGCTCCGCGGTCAAACAACCACCCCTCATCACTGTCAAACGCTCCCTAAAACACTTTAGCGAGCAGGTCTTTCTAATTGACCTGGCCCGGGTATCCTGGATGGATATTGACCTCATTCCGTCAGTAGAGGATGCCTAGTTGTTCTTTAAAAGTGATTTCCTCTCAATCTTAAATAAGCATGCCCCATTCAAAAAATTCAGAACTAAGAACAGATATAGCCCCTAGTTCTCCTCAGACTTGACTGCCCTTGACCAGCACAAAAACATCCTGTGGCGTTCTGCATTAGCATCGAACAGCCCCCGCGATATGCAACTTTTCAGGGAAGTCAGGAGCAAATATACACAATCAGTTAGGAAAGCAAAGGCTAGCTTTTTCAAACAGAAATTTGCATCCTGTAGCACTAACTCCAAAAGGTTTTGGGACACTGTAAAGTCCATGGAAAATAAGAGCACCTCTTCCCAACTGCCCACTGCACTGAGGCTAGGAAACACTGTCACCACCGATAAATCTACAATAATCGAGAATTTCAACAAGCATTTTGCTACGGCTGGCCATGCTTTCCACCTGGCTACCACTACCTCGGCCACCAGCTCTGCACCCTCCCCGCTTCTCCTTCACACAAATTCAGACAGCTGATGTTCTGACAATGCTGAAAAATCTGGACCCCTACAAATCAGCTGGGCTAGACAATCTGGACCTTTTCTTTCTAAAATTAGCCGCCGAAATTGTCGAAAGCCCTATTTCTAGCCTGTTCAACCTCTCTTTCATAATGTCTGAGATTCCCAGAGATTGGAAAGCTGCCGCGGTCATCCCCTTCTTCAAAGGGGGTGACACTCTAGATCCAAACTGTTACAGAACTATATCCATCCTGCCCTGCCTTTCGAAAGTATTTGAAAGCCAAGTTAACAAACAGATCACCGACCATTTCGAATCCCACCATACCTTCTCCGCTATGCAATCCGGTTTCCGAGCTGGTCATGGGTGCACCTCAGCCATGCTCAAGATCCTAAACCATATTATAACCGCGATCGATAAAAGACAGTACTGCGCAGCCGTCTTCATCGACCTGGCCAAGGCTTTCGACTCTGTCAACCACCGCATTCTTATTGGCAGACTAAATAGCCTTGGTTTCTCCAATGACTGCCTCGCCTGGTTCACCAACTACTTCTCAGATAGAGTTCAATGTGTCAAATCGGAGGGCCTGTTGTCTGGACCTCTGGCCGTCTCTATGGGGGTGCCACAGGGTTCAATTCTCGGGCCGACTCTATTCTCTGTGTATATCAATGATGTCGCTCTTGCTGTTGGTGAAGCTCGAATCCACCTCTATGTGGACGACACCATTTTGTATACATCTGGCCCTTCATTGGACACTGTGTTAACAAACCTCCAAACGAGCTTCAACGCCATACAACACTCCTTCCGTAGCCTCCAACTGCTCTTAAACACTAGTAAAACTAAATGCAATTACAGCTGCAAGTCTCTTGGGGTATGTCTCTATAAGCTTGGCACATCTAGCCACTGGGATTTTTGCCCATTCTTCAAGGCAAAACTGCTCCAGCTCCTTCAAGTTGGATGGGTTCCGCTGGTGTACAGCAATCTTTAAGTCATACCAGAGATTCTCAAATGGATTGAGGTCTGGGCTTTGACTAGGCCATTCCAAGACATGTAAATGTTTCCTCTTAAACCACTCGAGTGTTGCTTTTGCAGTATGCTTAGGGTCATTGTCCTGCTTGAAGGTGAACCTTAATCCCAGTCTCAAATCTCTGGAAGACTGAAACAGGTTTCCATCAAGAATTTCCCTGTATTTAGCGCCATCCATCATTCCTTCAATTCTGACCAGTTTCCCAGTCCCTGCCAATGAAAAACATCCCCATATCATGATGCTGCCACCACCATGCTTCACTGTGGGGATGGTGTTCTCGGGGTGGTGAGAGGTGTTAGGTTTGCGCCAGACATAGCATTTTCCTTGATGGCCAAAAAGCTCAATTTTAGTTTCATCTGACCAGAGTACCCTCTTCCATATGTTTGGGGAGTCTCCCATATGCCTTTTGGCGAACACCAAACGTGTTTGCTTATTTTTTTCTTTAAGCAATGGCTTTTTTCTGGCTACTCTTCCGTAAAGCCCAGCTCTGTGGAGTGTATGGCTTAAAGTTGTCCTATGGACAGATACTGCAATCGCCGCTGTGGAGCTTTGCAGCTCCTTCAGGATTATCTTTGGTCTCTTTGTTACCTCTCTGATTAATGCCCTCCTTGCCTGGGCCGTGAGTTTTGGTGGGCGGCCCTCTCTTGGCAGGTTTGTTGTGGTGCCATATTCTTTCCAGTTTTTAATAATGGATTTAATGGTGCTCTGTGGTATGTTCAAAGTTTCTGATATTTTTTATAACCCAACCCTGATCTGTACTTCTCCACAACTTTGTCCCTGACATTTGGAGAGCTCCTTGGTCTTCATGGTGCTGCTTGCATGGTGGTGCCCCTTGCTTAGTGGTGTTGCAGACTCTGGGGCCTTTCAGAACAGGTGTATATATATTGAGATCATGTGACAAATCATGCAACACTTAGATTGCACACAAGTGGACTTTATTTAACAAATTCTGTGACTTCTGAAGGTAATTGGTTGCACGCGATCTTATTTAGGGGCTTCATAGCAAAGGGGGTGAATACATATGCACGCACCACTTTTCCGTTATTTTTTTTTTTTCATTTCACTTCACCAATTTGGACTATTTTGTATATGTCCATTACATGAAATCCAAATAAAAATCAATTTAAATTACAGGTTGTAATGCAACAAAATAGGAAAAATGCCAAAGGGGATGAATACTTTTGCAAGGCATTGTATTAACCTTTTATTCAATGCATTTCTATGGGCTAATAACAGTAAAGACTAATTCAATGTTTCATCAAATCATTTTTATTTAAAGAAAACGCACTACCCTTCACTATGCCCAATAGAAAAGATACAACCCTCCCCAAAGTATAACACATTTGGACCACCAGAAAACGTTATAAATATGGAAACCAAAGCATTTGAAAATGCATTTTTCTTCCAGTTATTCATTCACTTTCAAAGATCCTCTGAAAAATTAGTTGTGTTGTGTTTAGAGGAGCTAGTATGAGAATGAAAAGGAGAGACTCAAAATGGCATGAAGG